AATTGTACAGATAATGTGCCATGATCAGCGGTTTCTGCTTGCCCCACCATCTGTTCAAGTCTCTGCCCCTTTAAGCTTTTATCACGTCCTATGTTCCGTGCCTTGCGCACAGCCCTCATGTCATGTTTCTGCTCCTCTTTGTCACCATGATGTTTTCCCCACCCTCTTCATGCCATGTTTTCTGCTTATTCACTCTGCCACGCACCCTCTGCACGTTCCGCTCATCGGCCCTGATTCACTGCACCTGTGACCTGCACTATTTAAGAGCTCCATTCTCACAAGTCCCTTGCCAGATTATTAAACCTCTCATGGTCCCTGATATTCGAGCCATTCATAGTTTCTTGTTTCATGTCTGAACCTCAAGCCTTGCTATTTGGATTACGACCCCACGCCTGTTTCCTGGATACTTTGCTTTGCCTGCCCCTTGCCTGAATTGGATTACTCCTTCTGCCCACAGTATCAACTCCTGCCTCCTCTTCTACAACCTCTCGTCAAGGTTTATGTTTTGGATTTATTACTGGGACTGACTCACTGTGTACCCTCACCTGTGTTCTGGACTGTGTTCTGGGTCTGCATCACTCCCTCCTGCCAGTGAAGATCTGTCACTGTGACTTTTTTCTGCAGCTGCTAAGTATAAATAGACTGTTTTTGCGTTTTACTCTTGTGTCTGGCTGATTTCGAATCCAAACACTGGTTCTTGTCATGGTCTAAAATCTAGTGTAGTAGCAGCTGAGTTTGATCCTCAACACATAATTTGAGCAGTAACAGATTGCACAAGACAATTGTATAAAATGTTGTCAATGACTATTTGGAGACAACTCTGTCTGTTAGTAAAATATCTCATGAACCACTCAAAGGATTTTAATGAAAGTTTCAGGAATTAGTCATTGGATATAGATGTACAATTGTTTCTCAAACAAAAAATCTCTCTCTCTAACGTTATTTACCCAAAAGAGCCACACTCAACGGCAGGAGAAGATTTTTAACTGTCCTTTTACTGGCATGGATCCATCCAAGACAGATTACATACATAGATACATAAAGCATATGCATGACGTCGCAGAAATGAGCCACGAGCTGCGTCATCTGCTCACTTGTATACTCCATTCAGCTCGACCGAGTTCAAAGTACAGGAGGTGCCCTTGAAGCCATCTGCAGCCTTCTTACCCAGTGCTCTCCATTAACCCAAACATGTGGTTCATGGGCAGAGATAAGAGTGTCTCGAGATAAGTTCGGCTGGTTTTGGGCTTCTTGTTCTCAGGGCAGAGGGGAAGAACAGTTTTAGTCATGATAATAAAAACATCCGTATCCTTTGATAAATTCCCTGACACTCTACTTCAGTTTTGTTCCTCAAGGACCCAGCTTTTTGTAGAAACTGATTTTGAATAGGACATTCTACAGCATGGATTGTAGAAATATAAAAAAAAAATGGATGTAGTATATTAATACATGACAAGAGTAATAATAATTCAATCATATGTTGCTATGATGTGATAAACTGAAGAATGTTAAAAGCAAAATATTAATATGGGTTGATGATGCATGAGCTTGGCATTGAGATCATTTGGATGAAAGTAAAGTTGCTGCTAAATTCAACAAAATAGGGAAAATTACAGATATGTTTCTGAAACTACTTACTGTTTATGTCACCCAAAACTACGTAATCCATGGCAGCAGGGGGAGAAAAAACAAAGAAACATAAACAGTCAACACTGTTGGAAATTATTCCCTCTTTTTAAAGTATTTCATATTCAAAAATACCCTAATATACACACCAGAAGAGAAATAAAACACGTTTCTGTTAGTGATCCCCACAAATGCAGACAGCCTGTTTGAACGGTTTATTTTTTCATAAAACCCTTTGGATAGATTTTTGAACAATTTAGATAGAGATATTTGATATGTGTTTCTAAGGGAACTGGGAAACACACAGACCCAACGCAAAAAAGCAGCAAAAATCTGATTTAAACAACATAAATGGCTGTAAATAGATTCAATCCACAGAATGTCTGATGATTGTCACACTTATTTACAGAGTGTTTTATTTTCCAGCTTTTTATCCCTTATAAAACTATTCCAATGTTAACGTCTCTGAATAAAAAAGCAAATACTGTAGTAAACAAATGTAACACGTCCATCCTACCCATCAATACTTTTCTAGGAGCAGCTATTATTAAATATTCAATAAGCACACTTGTATGTTGGCTAGCTATTCCCATTATTACGAGTGAGTAAATAAATTGACTAGAATTGAGAAAAAAATAGCATTTCTTCTAAAATTTCTAAAGCAGCGTCTTGCCCTAAGTTGTCTCCCACAAGAGACCCAAGATATTCTTTATCACTATTGCTTCTTATGCATTGTAAAGCCCGGTCCAGCCTGGACTGGCCAGTTGACCCAACCCTGGTCTTCCCGGCTCTGGTTTTGTTTGCTGTGAGCAGAGTGCAGCCTCGATCTAGGCAGTGTCATCATAGCAAGACTGCACAAATATCAGCTCAGCAGTAATTGCACCTCGTCGTTTGCTCAGGGCACTGGTGCTTCTTGTGCTTTTCCATTTATCTAAAGAGAAAGGAGCTCTCTCCATCACACAACCAGCCAGAAGTAAGTAGCTGAAGGATATGGTGGTAAGGAGCAGTTGTTGGAAGTATGACTCATCTGTGAACCAGCACACCAATCAGTGGCCAGTAGTCTGCTGACGTCAAATATGCTGCACCAGCCTGGCCCGAATGGAACCCCAGATCTCTGGGTTCCAAACATTGAGCTGGACCTGGGTCAAACTGCCAAATGTCATCACTCACAAGCCAGGGTGGAACCGGGATCAGGACAGTCCAGGTCGGGTCTTACAATGCATAAGGGCCATATGTATGTCATTACCTCAGTCCTCAGGAGGCTATGAGTTGCCGAACCATGATATTTACCGAACAGACTTCACTTTAGGACAAAAATAACAGGAGCAACTGAGAATAAATCTCAGTTTTTAGTTGGTCGACAACAGGCTCGCAAAAGAAAGCTTGGATGGCAGACACCAGACTGTTCTTACTGTTGGACTGGCACCAAACAACAACCATCTTGATGTCAACATATGACCTTTACTGACTTTAACTTTGTATTAGTCCAGTTCTTGATGTCATACAGACGGTTACAAAAATATACCCCTTCATTTGGCAAGTTTCTATTTGGCAAGTTTTCATTTGGCTGGGAGTTTTAATTTTATTATAAGTAATAGCTTTACAAAAAAAAAATCTATATTATTAGAGGTAAATGGGGGAAAACATGTTTTAAACATTGCTTATCGTATAAAACTAAAAGTTGGTACATGCAGATGTATTCACTTTCTTTGCTTTGCCCAATTGCTGCATTAAGAAGCCAAATAATTATTTCAATAAAATCCTCATGTGAGCAATCTAAGCATCAGATGATTTCAATATAGTTTTTCACTTGTTCTGATAATTCCCAAAGTTAACATCAATTTAACGCCTGTAAGAAGTAAAGTCTACCCCAAATAAGAGGCAGCATGAAGACCAGGAAGCTCTCCACACAGGTCAGAGACAAAGTTGTATAGCAGTATATATCCTGTTGGTTCATGAAACACCTAAAGCTTGACCATCCCATGATCTTTACTAGAAAATGAAAAGATGATGCCACCACAGCACACCTGCCATCAAAGTTTTGTCCAACAAGAATGGATTTAGATTTATTTAGGTATTTTTGGGTAACGGGGGTTTCTGGTGCCCATATTCAGCAGTCACTGTGCAAGAGGCGGGGGGCACCCTGGACAGGTCTCCAGTTCATCACAGGGACACAGACACAAACAACCATTCACTCTCTCTCTCACACCTAGGAACAATTTAAAGTTAACAATCAGTCTAACATGCATGTTTCTGGTCTGTGGGAGGAAACTGGAGTACCTGGAGAAAACCCACGCATGCATGGAAAGAACATGCAAACTCCACCCAGAAAAGCCGCCAGCTGGGATTTGATCTAACGACCTTCATTCTGAGAGGCAAAAGCTCTACCAACTCAACCACAGATTCTTGTGAATATTTTGCTCAGATGTGTCACCTTTGATGTGACACCTGCAAATTGCAGCAGACTGGGTCCACTGGTGCTGCAAAAAACTACATGTATGTAATCATAAAAAGGAAAGGAATGCTCAGGGGTGTAAGATAGATTGCTTCCTGGCTGAGTAGCACCTCAGTCTTTGTTGAATCTGTTTTTTCTTGTGGTTTCTGCCATAATTTGCTGTCAGAAGCCACCAGTCCACAAGACAGAGTCAAGATCATGTTAACAAAACCATTTATGGTTAAACTTTTTCACAGAGAGGGCATAATTTCTAAGCTGAAATATGTGCACTCAGTGACTGTTAAACATAAAACTAACTTTAATATGTGTGTACAAATGCTTTTATAAATCTTTTTTTTGTTGTTGTTCATATGTCATTTTTATGACTTGTCTTGTTTCATTATGAATAATATATGATGTTCCATCACTGATGCCTCTGATCTGACTAGAATAAGCTGACTTCTTCTTTAAACATCACCCATCAAAACTTCTTGCTCAAATATGTGTTATGCTAAAGAGGATGTTAGAACTCATCAGGGGAAGTGAAACAAAAGGCATGTTTCTGTAGATGTATCTGTGTTGTTGTCATACATTTGCTAACTTTGCTTTTAAACTAGTAACCTCTCCAGGTTTAACACTTTTCTGCTCCCATGTTATAATTTTACATTTTCATTTCTTAAGGGTGTGAGCTACCTTTTCTACTTCACCGGGCACTGAACCATCTATGATCTCGTTTTAATGGATGATAAGAACTCACCCTCTAGAGGAATGTCCATGGCTGTGGTTGTATGGAAGGCACAAATACAGGCAATGATGATCAGCATGGCGGCAAGTCCCGAACTTCTCTGCAACCTCATAGTTTCACTGTAGGATCTTGGCTGTTCTCAACAAACAGGTGCTGTCCTCAGTTCATTTCTCTCGTAGGCTGGTGGTGCCGTACCTGTAAAACAGCACAGATGGAGAAGGCCCCATGAATCCACCCACGTGCTGGCAGACAGAATGGCAAACCCCGAACATAATCAGTCCCCCGTGACTTGGAGCCAAACTGCTCTTTGCTCAGCCTTGCAGAACACGGTACATTTTCATTTTCCATCAGCAGAGACCCTGACTGTGTGTTAGTTGAAATTTGGCTCTTGAGAAAAACATTCACTTCAAAGTCTGGCATTAATTTTCCCCCTAAAGTTAAAATTTTCTGTTCTGAGGTGTGCTTCACAAAATTTACGTTTTATTCTGACTACTAAGAGAAATAAATAAACACATAAGGAACTTGTAAATTGATGACTATAAGGCTAACGTCAATTTGACTGCAAAAAGAGTAAACATGATGAGTTATTAACAGTACCATGCTACTAACAGAACCACACTACCAATAGGACCATGATGCTGTAGATGTATTTCTTTTTCCATTTTGGCGCCTTGCTTTGGTATTTTTGTTGCATGCTTTGATATTTGGTGTTGTTTATCTTTTTGGCAAGTTGAGACGGTTCTTCTCATCCTCAGCATTTCATTGCATTGTTGACCTTGTGTTGATTTGCATATGGCGAATAAACCAAACCTGAACCTATTGTCATTCCCATGAAACCTTGAAAATAACATTAGGTGCAGTCACATGCAATATTCCAAAATCTTGCAAGATACCATATAAGCTTTTATTTATAGAGCACTTTAAACACACACAGGGCCAAAGTGCTGTACACATCATAAAATCAGATAATAAAAAATTATTAAAATAATTAAAAGTTAACATTTCAGATGGTGTCAAAGGCCGGGGAGAAGAGATGGGTTTTAAGAAGGGATTTAAAAACAGACAGGGAAGAGGCCTGTCTGATGTTCAAGGGAAGAATGTCATCGTTTAGGAGCAGCCACAACAAAAGCACGGTCTTCTCTGAGCTTACACTTTGTCTTCAGCACACTGAGGAGCAGCTGATCACATGACCCGAGGGATCGAGAGGGTGTGTGCGGATGTAGCAACTCAGACAGATACAGCGGAGCAAGTCCATTTAGAGATTTAAAAGCAAATAAAGAAATTTTTAAATGAATCCTAAAATGTAGATTTGTAAGTGCTTGGAGCATGCATTGTGAATGACTCTCATCTTATACCACACCATATTTAAACTCTGAATATCTGTAAAATTCACAGCATTGGAGCCATTTCTGTATTTGCTGAGTTTATTTTGCTGTGGAGACCAATTTAAATCTGTTTGATTCCAAATTATATTCAGTTGTAGATGCACATCTAATGACTACATTTTAAAATGCTTCAATAATAAAACTTGAGTGATTTGTGTTATTTTGCTAATTGAACAGTCAAATGCACACAGACACCGGCAAAATAATTATTGCCCATCGCCGAAGGCAAAAGGGCGATAAAAAAAGACTATGAAAAGTACAAAAATAAACAAATCAAGAGCTTAGATTCATGGCAGATGTTCAATTTGATTACAATAAAAGGAATTTAGTGTAAATGAAAACCAAGACTGAAATCTGTATCAAAAGCATTAGAGTTAGACTGATTTAATCGCTGTGCTCTTTTGATCTGTCTGCATTTTTCTGATAAGGACTGGATCACTTTAAGAGTGGAGCAGCAATTTTATCTATTATTGCTGCAAACACAGCTGCCTGAGGGGAGACATGAAAAGTGTGCATAGTTAGGAGTCAGACAGAGTAAGCTGTCTGCACTCGCACACTGACAGGCTGTGGAGAACACGGTGCTGCATCATTCTCCAGCTAACAGACCAGAGTCTGGACCATAATAAGCAAAGACCCAGACTGCTAAACCAGATGAAGATGAATAAGAGCAAAGTCTGGGAGCTCTAATGTCTGCCACAATTCTTTGAAAACCCTTTGGGGTGTCAGTTCATTAGTCCTCATATTGGCTTTGACCCAGCTTAGCAGGTCACACTAAAGCAATTAGTTCAACAGCTAGCATGCCCTGCAAAAACAAAATAGAGTGATAATAGGCAAACATCAGAGATTTGGAGAAATGTGAACTCATAAAGCTGTTGGTCCACAGGGAGTCTGTCGAGATTCGTAAGCAACCAAAGTGGTTAAGCGAGCGAGGAACACAGCACTGATAAAGTCCAGTAATTGCACTTACTGTAACATTGATAGAGAATCCAATTAGAAGGAAAACAGATATTTCAGGCATTGTTAAGCAGCCGTAACAAAGATATGAGCTGTATAGAAACTACCAGACATTTAACAAGCATTGCAATCCCTTTAAGGATGTTGTTTCCCACAACAGACACCCCCCACTGCTTTGATAAATTAAAAAGCCAACACAGAGATCAAGCTCCTGGTTGTAATTGAATAATTGAGCACAACACTACAGGAGTTGTGGGCTGCTTTTCTCTCTCAAGCCTGTTTTGAGATGAAATTGGATTTTGAACGTTTTATCTTTAACTGAAAGTAATAACTGTGATTCGATATTCCGTATTAACCCTTCTAAATAAACATGTGACTTTACAGCCTCACCAAGACCTTACCCACACACCACGAGGACTATACATGAACCACATAAATACAACTCAATTACAATTCATGCTTATTGACTTTGAGTACCAACTAGACATGAACATGTAACTGGATTCAAGACATACTATGGTGTTAATATCTAACATTTTCTGTCATACATTCCTGTGGTTTAAATGCCTAAAAACCACTGGAAAATACTGTGTGACTTCCAAAAAAGTTCAATCTGGTCCTCTGGACATTCAAAACTGTGTGACTTCTTTCAATAAGTTTTATGTGAGCCCAACAAATTTCACAGAGACTAAATATGTCAATGCATGTCTAACAAAATAAAGTTAGGTTCTCCGGACGAATTCTTCTTGTTGAAACGTTTCATCTTTTATCCAAAACACTTCTTCAGTCTGAGGAGCTGCAATAAACTCAGTCTTGTAAATAGCACCTTCGTGTAGTGGATCAACCAGTTTGCTGATGACAGCCCAACCTAGTTGCTCACATGCAAAAGGAGAACCATAAGCCTAACGACTGATTGTTAATGTCCTGATGGCATTATGCGCTATTCACAGTGGGCTGAGTAACAGCATTGTAAGAGGGGGATAGTTGAACACTGAGGCTTCCACCCCTGTTTAATGATGGACGGGCTCTCTTCACAAAGATGGCCTCCTTTACTCCTCTCTCAAACCATTGTTCCTCTCAATCAAGGAATGTGAACATCTTCATCCCTGAAAGAGACACTGGCTTGCAGATTAGTGTAAACTGCAGAATCCTGGCCTGATGTTGCTCTTCTGTGCTGGGCCATCCTTTTGGCCAGTGGCTGTTTAGTTTCCCCGATGTAAGATTGATCACCTTCCTGACACTGAACAGCATAAACAATATTACTCTGTTTGTGCCGGGGGACTGGATCTTTGGGATGGACCAGTCTTTGCCGTAATGTATTTTGGGGTTTAAAAGCCACTGGGACGTTGTGTTTAGAAAATAAACATCTCAGTTTCTCTTATACTCCCGCAACATATGGAATGACACTGGTCTGGGTCTGGGTTCCTCCTTTTCACCTGATGGCTGGCTGGAATCCTATTTGGGTTTCTTCTCTGCTTTCAGGAAGGCCCAGTTAAGATATCCACATTTCTCTAGTCTGTCTTGTGTGGGATTTCTCCTTCTGCCTGGCTCCTGAGTTAGTGGGGACGCTGTCTGCTCTGTGGTACAGAGTCCTGATGACTCCTAACTTGTGCTCCAGAGGGTGATGGGAGTCAAACTGCAAATACTGGTCTGTGTGGGTGGGTTTGTGGTACACCTTAGTTTGCAAATGTCTTCCATCAGAACCTGAGACCTCACAGTCCAAGAAAGCCAACCTGTCATTTTTTTACATCTTCTCATGTGAACTTGAAGTATTTATCCACAGAGTTGATGTGATCAGTAAAATGTTGGACTTCCTGAGATTTAAATTTAACCCACGTGTCGTCAACATACCTGAACCAATGACTTGGTGGTGTCCCTGAAAAGGATGCCAAGGTTGTCTTTTCTACCTCCTCCATTTACAGGTTGACAATGTCAATGTCAATGTGTGCTTTCTCCAACTCAAGACATAGACAGGCTGTTGCGCATTCTGGTCTTACTGATGAGTCACTATCATTTGTGATTCTAACACTTCAAGCTCCCAGTTAAGAGGCAACTTTCTGGTGACTTTGCTGTGCCATGATTGTTACACTGATGACACAGTAACATTGTAAGGGCTTTGCTCACTTGTAATGTGGCACATCAGTTGCCCCATATACTGTAGCCCTATGCCTATTTCTAAATTGCACTGTCACGAAACCTAACTGTGAGGCTGTTCCATGATGATGACACAACATGGTGGAAGTGTATTGTCCCTTGGCAAGAGGACCAATAGATCAACAACACAGCGTAGCTGAGATGGCTGGAGGAACATCTTGCTGCTTTGTGCCGGAACTGACTATCAGAGCCGCCATTCTGCATGATGGCGGTTGTAAAGCTCATCTGCCCTTTGACAGGTCTTGTTTCTCATGATGTTGGGTGTCATGCCACCCTCCTTACTGATGTAGTGGCAATGGGGGAGCTGGTTTAATTACCATCCACCTAACCATGCGGCAGGTCATATTGAAAATAATGTTAAAGTTTTCCTTTTTCAGTGCTGTTTTGAAACAAATGTTTGCAACATACTAGAAAAGTTAGCATGTTAGCAATTAATAAACCAGCCAAGAGCAGTCTCAATATGTAGGCTAAATGAGTGTATTAAGTGGAGTTGATAAACAAGTTTCAGCTTCTATTTTTTTTTCTAGGTCCTCATACAGCCTAACTGTGACTCAACAGTGACCTCCCTAAACCAATATGTGACTTCTACTTCCCACATAGCTATTGCATCACCACGGGGTTTGTACGAGCCATATAAATCCCACTCAATCACAATTCATGTGTAATGACTTCAACATAAGATTTCTGTTTCAAAGTTAAAAG